CCCCAAAACCCCAAAACCCCAAAACCCCTAATATGAAAAGGACTGTTGAAGTTGGCTTAGTAACACCTAGTCTTTTTCTTTGACCAATTCTTATGTGTCTTTGTTGCTCTCTCGATCCTTGCCACAATTCTGGATGGGTCTCCCTTCCCAGTGTTGTAATCTTCCATGATTGATAGCTGGTTTTGAATGATCTGGTCATGGTCCTCTTTCATGTAATCATGCATGGTTTTGAATGAATTTGTAGTAGCAAAATTCAAAGTTTCCATTAATGATAAAGTCTTTCAGAATTCTTTCCTTCTGATATTATTCTGAAACCGCTCAAAAAGCAGTATTTTCATATCCTCCTTGCCTTGAGTGGTAGCATCATCTCAAGCCTTATAGATCGAATAAATTTTACTTCTCAATTTCTTGGCTTTGTGAGTCTTAGATTTGTAAAATGAAACAGGACCTTTTCTAGAGCTTCGCTGAAGATTATCTAAAACTTAGTCACTCTAATAGTACCATCAGGATGCTCTCATGTTTTACTCAGGCTTAGACTCGAGTTCATCCTAGAATTTTTATTAAAATTTGGCTCAAGGATAGTAAACAGCTTCTGCTTTTTAGGAAAACCTAAGTCATCATGAGTCATGTTCATCGTCTTTCCTTCTTTCTTTAAACTTCTTAAAGAGTCAGGGATAGCTGACTTAATCTGTGAATTCCTCTGAGTATTAGCAAAGGGTTTGCTATAAATCTCTTTCTAGATAACTTACACAAGTCCTGACTTATTCGCTCTTCTGAAAGTCTTAGTAGTCTTGGCTCTAACCTTCTGGTTAGTAGAGTTTATCAGCCTATTTTTGAGAAGAACCTGAAGTTTATTCCTCCGAATAAAATTCTTGCTTCCCCTCATGTTGCTAATATCTTGGTTACTCTCACTTAAGTTATGCTTGGGATCTCCTCTCTGGTGTTTATTTTAAAATAGAAGAGTTCCTATTAGGCGAGGTGGTCCTTCTCTGCTTCGAGTTAACTCCACTTCCAAGTTGGACATCTCCAATTTTATGAGCCGAAGGAATGTTTCTTCTATTGTTCTCTTGAATTTGTCTGTTGATGGTATTCTCATTGTGTTCAAAAATACTAGAATTTTTTATCCTACAAATCACTTGTTAAACATACGATGAAATATTGCTAGACTTATGATTTTTCTATAAGAATGAGCTTCAAAGAGTACTTCACAGCTATCATTTCTGTCTTGGCCATCCTCCTTCTTCTTAGCAGCCTTTTGCTTGCAGACTCTTTCTCTATTTCTGGTGACACTAAGTCTGATTTCTTCGATGTCTTTGAGAAATTTCTGCTTGTCCAGAATTTGTTTCTTGTTGTATAATTGTCTATATAGAGTGTTCAAATCTTGCTTCTTGTAATAACTAGTCAAAAGATCTTTTGAGACAATAAAAAGGGTTTTAACCAAAAATACTAATTTCTGCCTTCTATTGGCTGACTGAAACAATTATATATGATAAATACCTCTTTGTGTAATTATAGTAGATATCATCAGTGAATTTGATATCTTTAAGAATAATATGCTGCTTCTTTTGCAATTTGTCCAAAATATTCCTTTCGTAAGGATCAATTTTATCTAAAATTAAAATGAAAGCTTACTAAAATTTCCCTGGGGGACAACTATTCTTTTGCGACAGTATTTTGCCTTTTTAGCCTGTTTAGCAAGCTTGAAGGATTCTTGCTTATCAAGTTTTCGTTGAAAAAGATCGTAGCTAATCTCAGCTTCTTCTATCTGGTCTAATAAATTATTTTTATCATGAGCATCGAAGGATAAGTTTCTGAGATACTTAGTGGCTTTGTTGAGCTTCTCATTCGATTGGTCTTTAGATATATCAAAAAGAGAATCCATGATGTATCCTCGGGGATCCTGGACAGTTCCATAGTCCTTATTCCCCTTGTTTCTTTCCATAAAGGTTCGCATTGCTTTCATGATGAAGTTTGAAATTATTTCAATAAAGTGATTTGAGTTGGGGTTTTGGGGTTTTGGGGTTTTGGGG